TGATTATAAATCAATAAAAAAAAACTCACCTTTCTGTCTATAGAGTGTGCACCTACTTCAACTTTAACTTGAGTACCCAACCCCCACACCTCGTGGCCTTTCTCTTGTTTTCCGAAACAGCCTACACTCTATGCAGTATTTATCTCTCTAAATAAATCTACCTTTACTCAAAAAAAAAAAAAAACCTCTCATCTTTCTGCTCCATTCTACTTATTGCGCGGTTTGGATTTTCGACAGCCATATCCAGGTTGCTGTTGTGAACACTGTCCTACACGTCATCACCTCGTTCACGTGAGGCGGGGCCGCTCTTTAGCAAAAATCTTTCTCGGATGGGAATAATTTTTCTCAGAGTGGTTTTACTAATTACCACACCATCTGTAAGTAATATAAGACCCCAAATATCCACGTCTTCTGAAACAGTGTGGCAACCGCTCTGACTCTAATACCTGACCCCTGGCTACGGTCATCGGCGTAAGTACAACGCAGGGTGTAATAAAGCTCTACCCTCCCCACCCTGCACGGCCAATCCGCTGGGCGTCTGCAGGGGAAACGGACGCTTGACCGGTCCCCCGACACAGCAAGGCCCGTCAGCTCCCACGGGCCAGCACACACTACCGAAGCCCTAACCCACCTGCGGATATCCGCGGTCTCACCCAGGGCTCCGGAGACGAGGGCCTTCCGGTCAACTTCCTGCGCTCGCGCGCCTGAGCCCGCGCTTACAACCCGCTCAGCGTTAAACTCCCAGAAGCGAAAGCGCTGAAGGCCGAGGACTCTGCCCACGCCTCCCGCGTCCACGCGCGGTGCCTTCTGGGAGTCGAAGGTAGTGGCGTTCTCTGCGCAGGCGCACCGTGACCGCCGATCTCGCGAGAGAGGGTATCTGGGGAGGAAGTGAGCCCGCCCACCCGTGGAAGGTAGAGAATCCTGGCTGGAGACCTGGTTGGTTGGGCCTGGCGGATCCCGGAAGCAGGCGGTGCGGTTGCCTGGAAACCACAAGCTTTCCGCTTGAACGGATTCTCTCGTTTCGTGGGCCTGTGCCCACCCGCATTAACTACGTTCCCATCTTCCCTTGTAACTGGGCCGAGTGATTATATGGAATGAAATCCCACGTGATATCCATCAATGGCGGCGCATGAATCTGAAGGCTGAGACGTGCCTTCTCCAAACTCTCCAACTGTGAACGGGGAGAATTTGAGACCTGCTGCTGAACATAATAAACCTTTTTGTGGAGGAGCTCACACAATTTGCCAGTTCGCCACAGTAAAATGCTTCATGCGAAAGACAGGATGTGAACGTGAGTGTTTTAACAGGGGTCAGCTGTGGTTGGTGGGGAAAGGAGAATGCCAGGTGCACTATTCACGTGTATCTGAATTTCTTCACAGGTCAGTATTGTTTTACGTTTGAAATGAAGTTAACTATTGTCATCTCTGAGTGGCCGGAGCAGAGGAACGTCTCACATTCACTGGATCTGAGCTTTTAGGGACAGGGATCTCGCTTCGGCCATTCTCTGTTATTTCCCCTGCATGGCTGACAACTATAGAGCCCTCAGGAATGGGAGATTTCTCTTCAGTTCTGGCCCTGATATTTCCTGCGTCATGGAGACAAAAACAAACAAACAAAACCCCATAGCTTCAGGGTCAGCCAAGGGGGGCTGAAGAGGAATTCAAGGAGTTGAGCTGCCCAAATGGAAAAATGTGCAAGGAGCAGCCATACTGCGAAACAAACTGCGCGAGGAGCTGACATGGAGCGAAACAGCACCTTATTCTAGTTCAACAAGAGGGCGCACGCCCGCGTGGCGCACTTGTCCTACTTTTATCTATTCTGCTCACACATGTGCATTATTCATTTCTTTGTTCAGACTACTTACATAACGCTACTAGCGCATGCGTACCTTTACTTTCTTTATTCATAAAGCTTACGTAACTGGTGCATGTGTACATTTACCTCTTACCTCATACACAGGCAAGTTGTGGTGACCTTGGACCTGGGTCCCACGGCCTACTCAGTAAGGCTGCTGACATTCAGCCTACTTGCTTCTCCCCCACAGTGAGGGATACACCTAGGTCTGTCCATAGCTCCACCTACAGCCGTCAAACAATGTAGCCTGGGAAGAAGACTGTGAAAACCCCTAAGAATGTTCTCCAGGCTCATTTGGTCAAATGTTTCAGACATCCCAGATATCCAGAACAGAGTCTGAAAGTTGGCGTCAGTCTCGAAGAGGAGAAGTCCCGTTCATCTCAGACATCTCTTCTGAAAATAGAGGACAAGAGCGCATTACAGGAACCCATCGACTTGTAGCAAAAAAACTAGTGGACTTACCTATGTGTTTTTGTATCTAAAATTCTCAAAAATAATAATCATAACCATCTCTATACTTCTTACTATTTATTGGAAAATCTAAACTCGAATATCCTCAGGTAAGGGTTTTTAATTCCAACCATAGTTGGCTAATGGAGACCAGATTTACCTACCAACCATAAATTACTAGAAAACCAGTCAAAATATACACAACAATGTTTTTCAGATATTCCATAGTAGACAGCACTGGACAGTGAACCCTGAGAGCAAGGAGTCAGATTACATGAGCTCTACAATCTTTTCAAAAAAACAGCTTTTGGATTCATTTCTTTTCTCTATTGTTTACCTGTTTTCAAAGTTCATTTATTTGGGCTCTATTTTTGTAGTTTCTACGGCTTGATTTAGGATAAATTTGCTATTCTTTCACTGGTGGGCTAAGGTGTACTTACCAGCTTCCAAAACTCCAGCAATCACTGATTTCTTTCTTTCACTAAATTATGTTTGCATTATATAAATGGAACAAAAAGTGTTTACTCTTTTGTCTGGTTTCTTTCACACAAGTGAGTATTTTGAGAGTCATCTGTGTTTCTGGTATAAACTGCAACACCCCACGATGTCAAGTTAAAATCTTACACTGGTTACGTATCTGGTATCCAATGCACAATTGCTATACCTGCCAAGAAACAGAAATACAAGACCTATCAGCACTAGAAAAAAAAGTCTATTGGAAACAAGCACAAACATGGCAGACTGACATACAAGCATGTTACATAGATTTTATTGATGTCCTACATTTTGTTTTGGAGTTATGGGTAGAAAAACTGAATTTAATAAAGAGAAAATATAAGATGCCAAACAAATCTTAATCAACCTATAGAAGTTTAAAGAAACACAACATCTAAAATATAAAATATGCTGCATGGAATGAGCAGCATATGAGATATTATAGAACAAAATATTAGTGAACTGGAAGATGTAGCTATGGAAATTATGCGGAAAGAACCACAGAGAGGGAGAGAGAGAAAAAAATGTATATAAAATGTGTCCAAAATTCGAAACTATAACTCAGGTCAATTCATATATGTCTAGTTTCTATTTCTGCTCCTCCATACTGTTTCAGCTCTGCCCTTTTATATCCTCATTCATTTAAGATTCTAGTTAATTCTTAAATATTTTTAAATAGTAAAATAAAACATATTTAAAATGCAGTTGTGTATATATGTGCCTGTGTGTCTATTTACATTTATTTATATTCTTATTCCTTCACAACCATAAGAATAATTGTAGAATACTATACAACCTCTACCTGATGAGATAAAATTTATATTTTAGGTCTGAAAAAATAAAAAGAAAAAGAAATAAATAAGTAAATAAATAAATAAATAAAATTTATATTTTAGGTCTTGACCAGAAAAATTAAAAATAGAATTCTCTGTCTGTGTTTGTTTGGGCCCCTCCCTCACGTGCAGAGTGCATCTGCATCACACATTAGCCAGAGCTTCTCAAAGATGGGAGTGCCTGTTTGACCACAAAGATGAGTTTTTTCCCCTCTCTTCTGATGCTAGCAATGTAACTTCTTAAAGGAATAGCATTCTTTCCCAGCACTGTAGGGGATCATGGTGACTTGCTGTTCCTTTGTATGTGCTTACCTGCACTATGTATCCTTAGTGAATTTGATGCAAAATTGCAGCATGTCATTTTGATGTATGATCCTTGTCTTGGAAATGTATATGACTGTGCCTTCAACTTCTAACAGGCAAACTAGTGCTCAGAGCTTTCTGAGAATCTGCTCCCCAAGGTATAATTCTCAGTGTGGCTTTAATAAATCCCGCCCTCATTTTTTTCCCTTAACTTGATAGTTCATTGAATTTTTGCCAACATATCTCACCTCCCTTTTTCCACTTAAGAATATATCCTGAAAGTAACATCACACATGGGTAGAGAGGAGCTTCATTCACTTTATGCCTGTAGAGAAATATAGTATGTGAATGGTCCATCATTTATTCAAACAGCAGCCTTTATGTGGACATCTAGATTGATTCCACCATAAGACTTCAATTAATAACCACTGCAGCAATAAGCACATATTCTTAAAAGTCCATTTAAAGTAAGAAAATGTGTTACCAAAAAAGGGGAAACATGGGGTGGGGGGAATAGCTCAGTGGTAGGGCATATGCTTAGCAAGAAGGAGGTCCTGGACTCAACCTCCAGTACCTCCATTAAACAAACAAACAAACAAATAAATCTAATTATCCCCCCAACAACAACAAAGTAATAAAAATTTTTTTAAATAAAAAAAAGTTTTTTTTAAATAAAATGAGCGAGGAAAGGATAAATTGAAGCATGGCATAGAGAAGGCTGAGTTAGATATGGCCTAAGCAAATTCAGTATTTACTGTTATTTCGAGGTGGTTCTGCCTGGGAGGGGATCCCATCAAAATAGGGTGGGAATTGTTTTCTCTGTGGGTCCGTCACGTTCACATGTAAACTGAGTTTAGTCAGATCAGCATCAAGTTCTCTACGACAAATTTCATTTTATGGTTATGAACTGGAATGCATAGGGACCCAATGTTTGCGGACTGCAAATGCCAGCTGGCAACCTTGGTTTACTAATTAGAAAACACTTGGTTGGTTGACATGAGAAGTACTCCCCCCTTTCCCAAATGTAAGCCCTGTGAGAACTGAAGTGATGGCAGAAATAAGGAGTCTTCCTTGTCTGCTGTGTGTTCACAGGCAAAAAAGCCTACCAGGGAATGTGAGAATTTCTATTTTTAAAAAATGGAAAATGGAAACCCAAATTAGTGAGAGCAAGCTTTATAGTGGAAAAATCACACACCTGCATTCTCAAGAAATGAAATATAATTCCAGTGGACATGTAGATAAGCCAAAAAACATTGTCCTAAAATCCCTGAGTCTCTTAGGAAAAATAAAAGCTTAAAATGAGATTCTTATTGAAAACACGAATAGCCGGGTGTGCTAGTGGATTATAATTGGCTTTTTGGTATGAAAATTTAGAAAGTAGAATAGAAAGAAAAATAGAATTTAAGGTCTTCTCATTATTGTTTTGATGCAGCAGTATGTGAAAAAATTATTTTTTACAGAAGCCTAGTTACTAAATTGCTTTTATAAAAGACTAGTTAATACTGGTTATTACAAATTGGAAATGAGTTCTCTTTCAGGACCAAGTAATGTTCTGCTCTTTTAATGTAAGCGGAAATTAAAAGTGTATAAATTAATACAACCATGTGTATTTATTTTTACTGTGCATTCACTAAATAGTTTACAATAGGCAGAGATGCTTTCACCTACAAGAATGGCCCTTTTTAAAAAAAATTTATTGAAGTGTGGTTGATTTACAATGTTAGTTTCAGGTGGACAGTAAAGTGATTCAGTTATATATACATTTTTTTTCTTTTCAGATTCTTTTCCATTATATGTTATTATAAGAAATTGAATACTGTGCTATATGGTAGGTCCTTCTTGTTTATCTATTTATATATAGTAATGTTTGTTGACACAGATGTATTTAGAAAAAAATATATATATATGTGTGTGCTTGTGTGTGTAGAAATATGTTAAGTATACGTGTAGAAAAAAAGTCAAACACACATTGATATTTTACCTGTATTTTAAAATATAGGCATTACCTACATTACACTATTTCTAAATACCCTCAGCTAAAGGACATGGTGAAAATAAGGTTCACGTTCTCTGTACAAGTATTTACAGAGACGTCCTGTTTTGGGGAAATTGGAAAATTGCGAGGGCAGGTTCTGGTTTTTTGTTGTTTGCTTTTTTATACATTACCTTTTTAAACATTTAAAATATTATTTTTCAAAAATTTCAGGCCTTTTTTGTTGTTGTGGGAGATAATTAGGTTTATTTATTTATTAACAGAAGGACTGGGGTTTGAACCCAGGACATCGTGTGTGCTCTAGCGCTGAGCTATACCCTGCCCCAATATATTGCTTTAATCAAAATTGCCTAGGAGAGCTGGCACTTGGTAGACATTTGCATGAGAATAAAGAAGGAAATGAATAATCAGAGTGCCCAGCAGAGGACAGCAGATTACACCACAGGAAGGAAAAAGCTGTCTTTCCCTGGAGGCAAAGCGTAACTCAGCACCACTCCTGTCCTGTGGGATGAGCATAATGGGGCTGAGAGTTGGGAAACACAAAGCCACAAACAGGGAGGTGTTCACTAGCCATGGGGCTGGATTCACACTGAGGGCCACACGGAAAGTCAAAACAGAGGAAAGAGAATAAAATAAAACAACGGTGCTCACCAGGATCAGGATGGTGTGGGTGGCTCTGGCCTGGTGGGCAGGTCTGGGGGAACGGCTGCTGCTTTGAAGATGCTGGGCTCACTGCTTGTGCCTGTGCAGGACAAGGACCACGGAGCCACTCGCCCAGGCCACGAGACCCAGAAGCACACAGTCAATGGAAAACACTATGCTTGCTGTCAGTGAGTTTGTTAAGTTTGACCAGAGTGGACCCAGAACAGTACTTACATCCTTTTCCCAAACTGATATTTGTGGTGTTGCTTGGGCCAGTCACCTTTATAACAACGTGTAGAGTTAGTAGGAGACTCAGGATCCAGCAAAAAGAACAGCAGAGACCAATGTACTTTGAGATTCTAGTTTTGAGCTCCATCCATTTAGAGTCATGGGAGCAAAGATTTAAGGCTTGGAAGCCACGGAGGAGGCAGGTGGTGCTGAGGGAAACGCCTCTGGCTACTCTATGAAAGTACAACACAAGTTTACATCCAGTGACATTCAGGAAATAT